GCAAGAAGGAAAAAAATGCCGGCCGAAGTGGTGTTGATGATGGACCTGGCGGGGGTCATCACTACCTCCCCATTTCCCGCCGCCCGCCGTCTGTGCGAGACGATGATGCGCTGCGTGTTTGAGCGTTCCGGGTCTCACATCATTGTCGAGCGCAAGGACGAGCGCTCCGTTCCCTTCCTGGCTAAGCAGTACAGCAACTTCTTCTTCACCGTGATTGAGTTCACGGAGCGCGCGCGCGGGTTGAAGGGCGCCTACGAGCGTCTCGAGTTGGGCGAGATCAACCGACTCGAGTTCATCGCCGACTTCACTGCAGAGGTTAACTTTATGCTGCTGGCCCTGTCGAAGCACAACCGCGAGGAGCTGGACGCGTTAAACATCGCCTTCCCGCAGCGTGTCGAGGCACTCAAGAAGCGCTTCCCTCTGCTGCGCGACCCGGTGGTGCAGCTGCACATTAAGGAGCTGGTGGACGTGGAGGCCTTTCTGTGCACCTTGGAGAAGGTGTCGCCCCGCAAGAACGTGCTGAACCTGCTGCACTACCTACGTGCAAAGAGCCAGCAGGAGATCCGCCTCTTTGCGATGGGCAACACCTGGGAGTACGAGGGCCAGTACCGACGGATGGCGAAGGCCATGACGTACTCAGTGGCCGACACGGTCAGCTCGGCGTTTCCAGTGTCATGCCCCGTGGAGTACGGGAAGGGCAGCAACAACTACAAGAACAGCTTCCAGGTGACGGGTCTCTTCGACGGGTACGTGCAGAGCTATGTCTACCACAAGCGCAAGCCCTACCCGGATATCTTCATGCATGCGCTGGACGAGGTACGGATTGGCCGCACGCCGACCGGCGAGGCGCTGCGTTACGACATCAAACCGAACATCTTCTACTTTGACGATGTGGAGGCGCACTGCCAGGTGGCGCGGGAGCTTCCGGGCAGCCCCTTTACCGAAGTCTTCCTCATCGAGGACGGCGCGAGCGATGTGTACAAGGACATCATCGCCGCACTGAAGATAGTGGCGGAGAAGGACCCGTTCTGGGCCGAGGTCGTCGAGGGTGCGGAGAAAGAGATTGGTCCGCTCTTTCGGCGGCCCGTGGACCCGAATGGAAAGCCGATTTCGTGGGTGACGGAGGAGCTGCACAACTACAACGACAATCTCCTCTTCATCCCGCCCCCGCCGAACGAGCTGTGCTCCCCTGTCCAGGTCCTGGTGAAGGACCGCTACCGCATGGACGACGACGACCAGGAGCGCATTCTCTTCTACTGCGCCCAGCACCTGCCGCACCTGTTTCCTCTCACCATCCCGCCGCAGCCGGGGCCGGGCATGAAACTTCGCACCCAGCCGGGCCTCGCCACCTCTGCTGGCCCCATCACCTTCGAGTACGTGGAGGGCAGCAATTTCTTCGAGTCCTATCGCATTTCCCTGCGCACGGGCAGTTACACGCTGCGCATCCAACCTCGCGGACCTTCGCCGTACCTCTCCGCGGACATTCGCCGCGAGTACGAGATCATGGCGCACCTGCAGGAGACCTCGCCGGAGCTGAACGTGCCGGCGACGCTCGTGTACTGCGACTCGTACGCCGTCTGCGGCCGCCGCTTCTTCCTGCGCCGCTACCGCGACGGGGAAATCATTCACGCCATCTCGCAGCTCATTCAGCCCTGCATCCGCCGCCCCTACTCGCAGCGCCGTGTGATGGTGATCAATGTGGAGCTGCGCCCGAGGCTGTTCTACAAGCAGATGATCAACGCCCTCACCATCCTGCACAACTCCTCGCTTCCCCCGTTTATGAAGCAGACCGAGGAAGAGACGCGGCGCAGCAAGAAGCACCTGCACCCCTTGCTAAAAAGCATCCAGGAGAGCATTGAGATGTACCAGCTCTCTCTCACGAAGAGCGGCACGCCGGGCCGCTTTGGCGTCCAGCTGCGCTCCGTCGCCGTGGAGCAACTGTCGAAGGCGCTGCAGCAGTGCTTTGACCAGACGCAGCTCTCGCAGACGATGGTGCCGATGCCGGACCGCCTTGTCATCTTGCACGGCAATTTCAACCTGTCCTCCGTCATCTTTACCCACCGGTCGCTGGAGGGTCGGGCCAAGTACCCGCCCCAGCTGATCGGCATGGTACAGTTCAAGTTCACTCGTCTCGGCGACCCCCTGATTGATGTGGCCACCGCTGCCATGTTCAGCTTCCTCTCGCAGCCGGAGGGCATCTACGGCGCGCCGCGGGATATTCAGATGCTCTTCCCGACGCCCAGCGATATTCTCGAGATGTACTGCACTACTCGCGGCTACATGCAGCACTTCGACCGCCCCCATCGTGATGACATCTTCAAGGTGTACTTAGCCAGTCTGTGCCTGCAGCGGGCCGCGTTGGTAGTGACGGACTTGGTGACGTCTAACGTGCCTGTTGACGGCAACCGCAGCGTTCACTCTCGCTGCATTGCGCAGGCCGATCAGCTCGCGATGCGCGGGTTGGAGATTCTGCGCAGCCGCAACTCAGCCAAACTGTAAAAGAAACGCAATGAGAGATTGTTTCCCACGTTAAATTCTCTGTTATTCAAGTCATCTGTGACGTGTCGCTGTCTTTGTTTTTCTCTCTGTTTCTTGTAGTGATGTTTTTCTTCAAAACGCAGGCTGCATGTCGCTTGAGTCGCCGTCGATGGGATGACTGCAACCGGCGGTGCGTCTCTCCTCACCTTTTCTTTTTCTCTTCTCTGTTCGTCATTCAGGTCGCAGCTTTCGATGAAGGCGACGTAGCGTAGCCGATGCTCTCCCTCCCTCCCGGCATTTACTCGACTCTTCGTCGAGTGAAATGCAACGGGAAGAAGAGGGTGTTGACATCCGTGATTAAAAGAAAAAAAATCCCCCTTTAACGCGTGCTGTCCGCGATGTGGCGGCACCACTTCAAAAGAACCAAAAACGGCAAAAAAAATCCAAAATTCAATAACTTTCTGTAGCTGTCTTTTCACTATTTTCCATCCTTTGTTAGGGGCCGTGCCGCTGATATGTCAATGGTGGTGTGCTGATGTGAACGCAGAGATGTGGGATAGTCTGACTCAGGTGCCCTAGGAATGTGTGTGTGTGTGTGTGTGTCTGTGTTGCCGATAGTGCGGAATTCAAAGGGTATGTGCGAGCACCACGGTCTCTTCCACGGAGCATACATACAAGGTGGACAATAGTGTCTCAAGCACCTCGTACGCACTGCATTTTGAAGCCTGTGACTGTGTGAACGTTCACGTTCAAGTGGAAGTGTATGCTGACCCTAAAAGAAAAGAAGTCTTCGGGTTTGTTCGTTTGCTCGCCGCTTACATTACTGTCTCAACGCACTGTAGCGGAAACCTTGTGTTTCCTCCTTCCTTTCTTTCTTTGATTCTCTGCAGTTTAGCGGTTTCTTTGTCCCATGATTTGAGCGGGCATACCGTGCTTTGCAGCAGTAGTGACGCCTCCGTGGTGCTTATCAGCGTAAACTTTACCGTGAACCTACAGGTTGCGAAACGGGTGCCGGTCTAACCACCGCCGTGGGTGTTGCCTGGATTCGGGCAGTCGTGTGCCTTGCGCTGCCGCTGAAAACGACGTTTCTGCCTCCGCCGACCTCCGCTGCAGAACCTAAGCGGTGTAGCATGCCTGCTGTTATCGTGCGGAAGGATCGATGCCGATTCGTTGTGTACGTCTCTCACTCACTCCCCCCTCCTCCCCTCGCTCCCTCTTCCTTTAACTTTTTTCTCCGCTTACTCTTTCATTTGGCTCTGAAGTACAGGTCTCAGGCGTTTTCTCCCAACGGTGGTGGCAACCTGCAGGCCAGTAGACATCCCAACACTCCTCCTCATCGCAGCTGTTGTCGTTCACCCTTCTACGCCCCGTATGCGCAGGCGCGGTAGTTCCTTTATTTTTCTCTTCTTCTGTACGTCGAATAGAATTTGTTTCCCTCTGTACTTTTACTCTCCAGTGGAATCTTCGTTTTCTGTGGCAGCCGTTTCTTCTTTCTACGAACCCGTTCTTTGAGGCAGCCGCGTTCATTTGCCCGGCGTAGCTCCTCTCTTGCTCCCGTCTTTTTAGCGAAAGAGTGTTGTTGTGTTCGCTTTCGCTTCTGACGGTCCTCTCCCATTGTTCCTCAGTCCATTCTTCACCATGGCATCTCAAACCGCAGATGCGAGTGGCACCGACTTCCTCGGGAACAAACTCCCGACGGACTTCGCGGAGGTCCCGGCGACCTCCAAGCGCACCGGCATCGGCTACCTTCAGTACAGCAACGGAGCCATCTACGAGGGAGAGTGGCTCAACGGCGAGCGCGACGGCCTCGGTGTCTGCTTCTACCCCTCCGGCAACATCTTCGTAGGCCAATTCCACTCTGGCCTGATGGAGGGAAACGGCACGATGTTCTTCGCCACTGGCGAGTGCTTTAGTGGTGAGTTTCGCCACTCCACGATCTACCGCGGCGTCTACAGCAGCCGTGGCCGCGAGATCATTGGAGTGTGGCAGGACGGCCATCGGGTGAGTGAGTTGCCTGCGAAAGCACCGGAGGTGCTGCAACGTGCCCGGGCCGCCCTCTTCGCCACGATTGTGGAGCACGTGAACGACTACCTGTGGGAGACCGCGAATGAGCCGACGCAGCTGTCCCTGCCGTTTCGCCAGCAGGACAGCGCCTCTCTTCGGCCGCCGCTAGACATACCGACCTCCGCGGAGGAGGACGTCAACGCCCCCAACGCGGATCGAATGAGCAACAACAGCAGAAGCATCGCTGATCGATCCCCGACACTGCGTGCACAACGCATGGCGACAGCGTTGGGCTTTGACGAGACTAACCACAGCCTCACCAGTTTGCGCTACCGCGCCCCTTCCTCCCTCGGCGACGGCGAGAGCAAAGAGTGGCTACGCAACACCGAAGTGCAGTACGGGTCGCCGGACACGATCTTCACCTGCGCCGCTCCATCACCGAGCGAGTTCCTTTCGCTCTGGCGCTTCGTGCGGCGGCTCTTTGTCTTCCTCTTTCCCTTTTTATCTTTGCCATGGATCTCTTTCGCACCCCTCCGCATTACGGCGATACAGGAGGAGCGCGAGTTTGTCGTGAGTGGGGCGGCCCTGCGAAACAACTTCGACGCCCCTACTTTCTCGCTGTGCGCGATTGCGGTGGGGATGCTGTGCCAGATCACCTCTATTGTGATTGTGGCCTGCCGTGTTCCTCTGGGGAGCGTGCAGGACGGCGATCTGACCCTGCCGGACATGGTGATGCCGTGTGTGCTTTGGTTCGTCATGGGTCTCCTCGGCGCCTCCTACTACGCCTTCTTTCGAATCCCGCACGGGCTGGAGCGGGTGGACCGGCGGCTAACGCCGCGGCTCTCCGCCTTCGCCGCCAGCCTCGTCGACGCGAAGGCAAGTGTCTGCATCTTCACCTACGACGAAGACGGCAAGGGCAAAGTGATGAATCAGCACTATAAATACCGCTGGCTGTTCTTTGCGATCATCTTTGGGGCCGCCATGAGTCTCTCCGCCCCTGCGACGCGTGGCGGCTACGGCCACAACATGTTTGGCCGAAACGCCTTTCAAAAGGCCGCCACGCTGCTTGCCTTCTTCGCAACGTTCTTCTTCGCCGCTACGCTGAGTTTCTACGTGCTAAAAATTACCGACATGCAGCGCGAGATCCGCGCTAAGCTGCACGTGCTGTCGAACCTCGCTTTTCTAGAGCGGCGCTGCATCATGAGCCCGAGCAAGCACGCACACATGGCATTTGATTTAGACGAGCTGTTTGATCCCAAGAACCTCTTCACCGGGTTCCCGGGGTGGTACTGCATGCGCTCCCTCATCCTCTGTACCTCCGCCTGCGCGAACCACGGCGCGCGTCGCACCGCGATGGGCGTTTTTTGGTTTGCCATGACCAGCGCCTACATTGTGGGCTTGGCGGACACCTTCTACATGCTGGCCAACCACTACGACGGCAGCGATCGCTACTACTCCACCGGCCACTCCTACGGCTTTTTTGCCTTCATCTTCTGGGGGCCGCTGCTGACTCGGTACTTCTACGTCTGCCTCGTCACCCGCCGCGAGCTGGACCGGCAGTTGTACATCATGGACATCGCGGGACTCTATCAGCGGGTGAAGGCGAACGACGCGGATGCCAGCGACATCATCCAGCAGTGTCGTCGCGTGTCGGAACTCAACGACGCAGCGCCAGAAATGTTCGCCCGGCCGGTTTACATCCTTGTCTGTGTGTGCACGGTAAGCTTGTGGATCGCAGCGACGGCGGCCATTTGCTTCCAGCTTGGCGAGGCCATCTACTACTGAGACGCTTTTCGTCGTGCCTCGTGAGGGCTGCGGTTTGTGGAAGGTGACTGACCGCAAAGGTGATACTTCACAGCTTATGTCCCCCCCTCCTGTTCACTCTTAGCTTTTGCTGTTCGTGTGTGCTCTGCTGGCGAAACTGACTGCCCGTTTCGTTCTTCTCCAAAAGAGACATGACACACTGTTGTTCTGGAGAGTCTTCTAGCCTGTTTTTCTTCTTTCCTTCTCCAATTCAACGTTTGGTGATGAACTCCACAATCTCGAGGGCGGCAGCGAAACCGCGTTGCACTCTCTCGTGCTATGAAAGCCTCGTCTGCGTTCTTTCTTCTACTCTTTTACGAGGCGAGCCGCTGCACGACTTGCGCACCTCGGCGCTGCAGTCCGTCGTGAGGCTGCAGCGTCCTTTCCTTTTGCACCGAAGGATAACCATCTGAGCCGTCGACGCATCTTTCCTTTTCCACTCCCGCACGGTTCCTCTCTTCTTCTCGTGCCGTCATTTCGCGTTCGCCGAGCCCAAGCGGTTTGGCTCCACTTCCCTCTAAAGAATCGCTCGCCCATCTTCACAAGAGCGCACGGCACCTTCACCACAATAGCATGTCACGGCAGTCTCGTAGTCTCTCCGGCCAGCCGTTTTCGATCGACAACGACATTCTTCTTCGCACTGTCACGGCAGCGCGGCAGTGGTGTGGAAGTGTCTGGGTGCCGGCGAAGTTGGCCGCACGACTCAACCTGCCCTTGCGCCCGGACACGGCCCCGCCGGTGCTACTCAGCAGCTCCAACGGGTCCGGCTTCTTTTATCATGCCGAGCAGTTCGCCGCACCCCTGTCGGCGCTGCAGGAAGCGTGGGATAACTTTTCCAAAGGTGAAGGTGCCCTCGCCGATCCTCATCACACGGAATCCCCTTCAAATTCGGTGGCGCCTAGCGCTGTGTCGCCGCTCAGCACCAACGGCGAGCGGTTTGACCGGGAAACGGAGACGCGTATGCTGCGGTGCGCTAACGGTTTGCGAAACGCAAGCACCTACTGGGCAACAGCGGCAGAGGCCACCTACCTCTATAACAGACCCTTCCATGAAGCCTACTTGGCGGACACCACACACGCCGTGTACGCAAACGCTTCCCCTCTCTGCCGCCCTGTGGCCTTCTACAACGTGGAGGGGACGATCGATCCGGCACACTTTACGAAGGAGACGTGCTGCCGCTATGACCCGGTGAACTACGAAGGCAGGTTCTACAAGCCATGCGTGGCGGTAACGATGAAGGCATTTGCTCTCCGCCATCACTGCCTGCACGAGCGGCAATGGATCACGACGCGTCGGGCCAGTGCGCTTGGCCTCTCCGCTCCTCGCGTGTTCACACCCGTCTCTTTCTTTAATATGTCGGTGCATCTCATCAACGTTGCGGTGCTTAAAAGAAGCGCACTCATTCGCGGCCGTGCGGTGAGCTCGTCTGTCTCACCGGCCGGCGTCGGAACTGAGGCGGAGAGCGAAAGCGAACTGGAACGTACGTTGTTGATGTCTTCGAACTGCTGCGTTGAAAGTACGCCTAAGAAGCAGGTGTTGGCCACTCCAACTCAGCTCTTCTGAGTTGCTGTAGCCTGCATTACCTCTTTCACAAGAGCTCCGTCCCCCCCCCTGTTCTCCTTGTGTTGCGGACTCTCACCCGCTCCTTTCTGCTTGTTTTCTCTGCTGTTCTTCCGCTTGTACTTTCACTCAGCGTACCTTTTATCGAAGACGTTGAGACAGAATGACGCCTTCTTGAGGATTGGAGAGGTGAATTGAACAGGCTCCGTGCCGATGGGGGCGGTGCCTGCCTCGTGGGGGTGGCCTGCCTTCAGCGGACTGTCACAGGAGAGTTTAGGCTACCGCCAATGTGCATGGGGCCGCGTGTGACGCTACACGCAGTGCACCTACTTCGAAAGACCGGACAGACTTGCCCGTCGGTCGTTGATGTTCATGCTCTCTACTTGTTCGCTGCAGGTTTTGGTGTCCCTCCGTTGTTTCTTTGCCGGCATTTTCCGTACAGGCATCACCATTTTTTGGCGGTGGTGGCAGGAGTCACCTCAGCACCAACAACTGCACTCAGCGCTCACATCACAGCTTCGTTAGATTCTCGTGCAGCACGTAAGAGTGGGCACGTCTGTCCTTTTGAAAGCGGCAAGGCACGTACTTCTGCTCCACACACGAGAGAAGGTGCGTAAAAGACCTTCCCTAGTGGAATGCTTCGAGCCACTTTACGGAAGTGCGCGGCGCTGACGGCGGCCGACTTATTTGCACTGAACCAGCGAAGTCGTTTCGCCTCCTACACGCAGTACGACGACGCGCAGGCGTTGCAGCGCTCCTACCAGTGCGCATCTCCGGCAGTGAGGCTGACCTATGAAGAGCGCGCTGCGGCGATCAGTGACGAGCTGGGAAGAGCGAGCACAGTAGAAGAAACTTTTCTGTCTGCTGCGGATGGCGACGTAGAGGAGTGAGTCACGTACATCAGTTTCCGCATGGTATTGCGTTACGGCTGTTGAGCTCGCCATCTCTGTTGACGTTGTTCTATTCCTGCTGTGGCTTCTGCTGAACGCTGGAGTAGCTTTACCTTTCTGTGACTCCTCTGCAAACATGCCTCTCTACAGTCACCGCTTCGACGACGACTGCCGTGTACCGTACGGGCAAACGGCGTTTTTAAATGTACCTGTCATGCCTTTTTTTTTCTGGTCTGTGTAGCGCCGTTGAGGATCCGAAAGGATCTGTCCACCGGCGCAGTTGCTCCTCCGTTCTTTGCCAAGTGAATGCGAGCCCCGCCCAAGTCCCTCTTCTGCCATCTTCTTCTGATTGCTTTGTGCGTTACTTCTGCTCTCTCCGCATGTCGCGCGCAATTGTCTTGACCTTCACTGCGCCATAACACACGCCTCTCTGTATTTCGGCAACGCATATTGAGGCAACGTCCGCAGCGGCTACGAAGCACATCGAATATACAATCTATACCGAAGCTAACTATTGAATACCGCAGCACGCTGCGCAAGAGCGCTCAGAACTATCGAGAATGGGCAAGGGTCGCGACAAGCGCAAGAAGAACGAAGACCCTGCGAAGGCCGCCAAGCGAGCGGCTCGGCAGGCGCTGAAGCTCCACAAAGGCGAGAAGAAGGAAGACGGAGATGCCACCGCGGAGGGCTTCAACAACGAGGAGGCCATCGAAGTAACCCTCAAACGCATTCAGAAGGCAGAGGGGAAGTTGAAAACTGTCGAGGAGGTCCAAAACGTCAGCCCGCCGACGCCGCGGGTCAACGTCGTCTTTGTTCCCCACCCGGAGCGGGACAACGAGATGATTCTCTTCGGCGGTGAGTTTTGGAACGGTGAGGCGACGGAGGCGTACAACGAGACGTACTTCTTTAACGCCAAAAAGAACGCGTGGGCTCGCCTGTCCGCCGCCGTCAACCCGGCCCCGCGAAGCAGCAGCCAGGCGGTTGTCTACAAGCACTTCCTTATTCTTTTCGGTGGTGAGTTTGTCTCGCAGTCACAGTCACAGTATCTGCACTTCAAAGACGTCTGGCGCTTCGACACCCGCACCAGCGAGTGGGAGGAGTTGAAGACGTTGAAGGGCGGCCCCTCCTCTCGCAGCGGCCATCGCATGGCCCTGTGGAAGCGCAACGCCGTCCTGTTTGGCGGGTTCTACGATAATGCGCAGGAGTGTCGCTACTTCGACGACTTGTGGACTCTGTCGCTGCTCGACGGCGCGGGGCGGTGGGCGCAGGTGAAGACCGCACCGGCCGCGGAGGTGCCACACGCCCGCAGCGGCCACAGCATCGGCGTCTATCAAGATCAGCTTTTTGTCTACGGCGGCTACTCGACGCAGAAGTTCAACCGCTTCAAGAAGTCAGAGGCGACCGTGCACCACGACCTGTGGATGATCCGGCTCCAGCAAGGAGAGGAGGAGCAGGGGGCGAGGGAAGGCGGCTCGCTGCCGATGTGGACAAAAATTCGCCTCGGCGGCGTCCCGCCGCCAATCCGCTCCGGCGTCTCCTCCGTCTTCAAGGACAAGCGCCTCTACCTCTTTGGGGGCGTGGTGGACATCGAGTCCCCCGGTGGGAAGATGGTGTCGACCTTCAACAACGACCTCTTTGTTTTCCACATGGACACTAAGCGCTTCTACCCGGTCGTGCTGCGCCGGCTGACAAAGAAGGAGAAGACCACCGGCAAGAAGGAGCACCTCGACGACCTGGCGGCACAGCTGAGCGCGTTGGAGCTGCACCGTGGGGAGTCGAGCAGCAGCAGCAGCGATGAGAGCGAGTCGTCGGACGATGACACAGGAGCAGAGGCCACGGCGCAGAGCGCCAGTCAAGAGATGAAGGTGAGCTACGAGAAGAACCGTCACGGCCAGATCCTGCCGCACCGCCGCATGGACTCAGCTCTCGCCATTCTCGGCAACACGCTGTACCTCTACGGCGGCCAGTTCGAGAGCAGCAAGAAAGAGATCACCATCTCGGATGTGTTTGCGCTGAACTTGAACAAGCTTGACACCTACCAGCCGCTGCTCTCGCAGGATCTGTCGGCGGCGGTCTGGCTAGGCAAGGAGTCAGAGAGCAACGCGAACTCCTGGGAGAGCGGCAGCACCGTCGTCAGCGCCGTGTTCGATTTGGACTACGACGAGGAGGACGAGGAGGACGACGCGGGCGGACACCACCGAGGCGTGGACTTCGGCAAGATGCCGCGACAGGCGCTTTTGGACTCCGAGGACGACGGTGAGGACGCTCCAGAGGCCATCCCGGCGGAACTGGCGGTGGAGGTGACACCTGCCGCCGAGGAGGTGAGCGAGGCCATCGACGGCGTAACGCGGAGTCGTGGCAAGAAGGGCTTGAAGGTGCACAAGGAGCAGCTGTTGGCGCAGCTCGGTGCCTCTGCTACGGTGCCAACCCCCGAGCGCGAAGAAACCTTTGCCGCCTTCTTTGAGCGCACGTTGCCCTTCTGGATGACGACAGCGCGCGAGTCGGTCGAGAGCAAAACGTCGGACCGCCGCCTGAAGCGGGAGGCCAGTGAGTTTGCGCGGCACCGCTACACGGAGGCGAAGGAGCTGCTCGAGCAGCTGCGTTTGGTGGAGGAGCGGGAGAAGGAAGAAGCCAACTTTTTCCGTGAGCGGCGCCTGCAGAAGGAGAAGGAGTGGGAGGAGTACGAGGCGCAGCAACAGCGTGGCGAGGAGGAGTCAGGTGAGGAGAAGGAGGAGGTGGAGAAGTAAAAGAAGTGCTGTTGCTGTATCCGTTTCTGTTAAATCCATTTTACCGGTGGTCTTTTCTGTGCATACGCGTTGTCCAATATAAATACATTTAGTGACATCTACGTATGGAAGAAAAGCGAAGGGAGGCTGTGGAGAAACGGTTTAATTATGCTTAAGCTTTGTTCGTTTTATAAAGACCGTTTTAATCTTCTTTTTCCTGTTGCGGTCACCGAGAGCGATTGAAGTCAACACAAAGCAATATGCGTGTTTGGTTACTGCTGCCTCGTTTTCTGAAGCGATCCTCCCCCCCCCCCGAAACGCGTGTCTCTTCTGCTGCGCTATCGAGCGAGCGTCTCCTTCCGCGGCCTTTTCACGGCGTACGTCGAACATCGTCATGAAGGCGCTCACAGCAGTTTTGTGCCGGTGCAGAACGTCTCTTCTTGCGATGTGTGGCGGTGCCGCACCGTTCCTCCCGCACTTACGCCTCCTTTTCCTCGTTCACTCCACCCAACCATTTTCTGCTCATCATGCTTTGCGCATCATTTCTTTCGACGTCTTTGTCTCCCTCTCTCGAGTAAACCAACAGGATCGACAGCCCACGTGCCGGCACACCCGGTCATCCCTCATGACGTCGTCCATCCCTTCACGGTGGGAAAGCGTGTCGAGGCAGCACGAGCGCATTCGTCTCTCCATTGACAATCGCCTCAGAAAGATCGATGCAGAGTTGAAAGAGCTGGACGCCCTTCGCGAGGGTTTGACCAGGCCGGAAGGCGGCAGCATGCAGACTCCACGCACCGTCGTAGTTCCACCGACGTCTTCCACCTCCGCACTATCGGATAGACGCAAGCGCAACCGGGAAGACACTGCCGTTACGGTGGGCTACTTGCGGGTTCACGGCGTGCAGCGGCGGATGGCACGCGGACGTGGTGCAGACCCCTTCGAGGACGCAGGACTCTACGCGGAGGAGGGCAACCCTGTGGCGCAGTTTGCTCCCGTGCAGCTGAGCAGCGATGAGGTGGCACGCCAACAGCTGCTGACGCTCTTCCCTGCAATACCGGTGACGGGCCTGCGCAAAACGGATCAGCTTCCACCCGTTGCCGTTTCCAGGATTGAATCGCGCATGAAGGCAGCCGGCCTTCCGAAGGCGTCGTTCTCTATTGGCCGCCGTATCGTGAGCGACGCCTATGTCTCCGTCAGCCCGCTTACGAGTTCCGACGAGTACATCATGTTGCTCAAGGACATGTTGTCTCCTACGCGGGATGCGCAGCTTGCGCAGGCGCTGTGCCGTGAGCTCTGCGCCGATCCAACCGCCGTCCGGTCCTCTCTCTGCGCGATACTGGCGGAACGGGCCGTTGCGGACACGCTGCCAGCGCGTGCTCGCGTCTTGGCCGTGAAGCTGCTTGGACTGCGGCAGTTCTCCAAGTCTTCGGTTGACACTGTGGCCTGGACTTTCATACAGTGCTGCCAATGCACCGACCGCGACGTGATGGAGAGCTCGCAGGTGCAGTGGGCGCAAACACTTCGCTGCGCCACTCCACGGGAGCTGCCTCCCTTTCCTCTGCGAGACTCGGTGCTTTATCTGGCGCTGTGCCACACCCTTCTTAACCGGTTGGCGGCGGCAAGGACGGCGAGGCAGGGCTATCTGCCGTACGTGCTGACGGCAGCAGGAGGGTATGCGCAGCTCATCTCCAGCAAGGCGTTGCTGTCGCAGCGGAGATTCGAAGACTTCACCGCACACGTTTCAACGGCCTTTGAGGGCAGCGTTGGCCTCCTTTCTTAGTCAATTTGATGAGGACACGGGCCGGCACCACGCAGCGTTCTTCCTTCGTTTCTTGTTGTTGTTACCGAAAATGCCACCTGAGGTGTGCATTTCTGTTGACTTGGTGCCTTGCCCTGCGACCCATCTGGCGCGTCGGGGCATTTGATTTGGTGTTCCGCACCAGAAAAGGCGGACTTATTCGCTCAGCCGTGCGTTGGTTTCTTCCGTCGTCGTTTCCATTCTCCATCAGGTGGCGGCCCGGTGCGTATCTTCACCCGCTGGCAGAAGAAAGTCGAAAACAAATTGCAGTAAGAAAACGAAGGCCTCGCTGCCTCAACGCCATGAAGTGCCCTTACGAGAGGTACAACAACACAACGAAGCCGCTCTGCGAACTGGTCTTTTGATTTGCTGCACGATGCGCCACCATGTCGGCGCCAATGCGGGCATTTCTGCCGCCCCCTAGTCGATCTCCTCTGGTAATCTGTGCAGGCGATGCACCGCTGTATCTTCCTCCTCCTCCCCACGGCTGCCATTTACAGAAATCACAAATAAAAGCGTCAACAGGAAGAAAACACGGGCGTCTGCTGGCACGACCCCAACCGTCTTAACCGTGACAACAATCTTCAAAAAGAGAAAAAAGCAATAAGAGAACAAAACATACTATAACTCTAACATAATGAGCTCGACGGCGTCGGCACCGCTGGTGCGGTGTCTTCTCCGCGCACTCACCGATGACGGCTACAAGAACATCATGGACAAACCGCCCGGGGAGTTTTCGCTGCAGTCGGAAATCTCAAAGTTGCACCCGACGCTCAGCCTTCATCAGGTGCTCCCCGGCACAGCGGCGTACCCGTCCCTGCGAGTGGTGGATCTCATTCCAGCCACACGGTGCTCCCTGAAGGCGGACGACGCCGTGACGATGGTCGTTCTACCTCCCGTCCGCGACACTGCCGACCAACTCACCTCTGCCGACGCAGGAGAGCAGGAAGAGGCAGCTGGCACAGAGGAAGGGACGACATGCACGATTGCGGTGCGCCTCAACACGAGTCTCCGCGGCTCCACTGCGCTGGCCTCTCAGGGTGTTCTTGATGCCCTCCTGATCGAGGACGAGTGCGTTGTGAAGGTGTGCGGAAGCCAGCACGACTGCGTGTTCGTGGTGGAGAAGGTCAGCGACCCGCCGTGCGGTGCGTCTCCACACGCGTTAGAGGTGGGACCGGAGCTGTTCCGCAATCTGCGGGCTGCGTTTTACTCTCGCGCGTCGCAAGCCATGGCCACAGGCGACAACAACGCGAGCTACGCGGATACAGTGATCGACGTGCCGGCCGACGTCTTTACGCCACTGGAGGACGACGAAGGCGAGCTGCTGCTGCGCTCTTCCGCAACGGTGCGTCATCGACTGGAGAAGATTGTGCTCTGCCCCGCCACGGGTGACACGGCGCTGACGGAGCTGTACGGCCTGTACTACCCGGAGCTGTGTGCCATCTTCGGCGCTGCCTCTGCCGCGGCGTGGGAAGGTCAGTTCGTCAGCACCGGCGATGTGCTGCTGCTCGACGACACTGCTTTCACCCGCGCTGCTCACCGCCTGGAAGGCGTAGATGTGCTGGAAACGGTGTCGCGAGTCCTGTCGCACAAGGTGCGGAGCTGGCGTGGGTCGTGGACGGACGAGATGGGTTCGAGTCCGCAGTTGCTGGCGCTGCGGGTAGTGCGCACCGAGACGGACCGTGGCCCGGTGCCATTTGGTGTGATGCACACGAACAGCAGCGACGACGACCCAAATGCGGCCGAAGTGGTGTTGGTGCACCAGCGCAACTACAAAGGCAACGACCTCACCCCTGTCTGGCCTCCAACGCCGGCGGAGGGACTTGCGGGCGTGGAGGCCTTCGCCCGTATCCGCGACGCCCTCCGCAGCGCCATCTCCCCCTCGCTGGACGTCCAACTCCACACCTTCGTGGTGCACGGCGTGAAGGAGAATTTGGCACGCGAGTTAGTGGACTGCGCCGTCCAGCAATGCGGTCTCGCGTCTGTCCTCATCGCGGCGGATGGCGTGGAGGAGGCGGAGTTGGAGGACGCCGTGCGGACTTTTTTATCGGAGCGGTGCGGCGGCGCCACGGTGCTCGTCATCCACAACGCGCACGTCATCGCCTCCTCCTGCCCGCACCTCCTCTCGCTGCTAGACGAGCGGATCAGCGACGATCGCTGCGGCAGAGACGGCGCGGACCCATCGGGGGCCCGTGTGCTGTTTCTTCTCTGTGAGTCGATGGAGGCCGTGCCGCCGATGATCGCGGCTCGCGCCACCAACGCGGAGGGCGTGCTGGAATGCGGCAATCCGTCCGAGGAAGACCGCGCGAGTTTCATTGCCCCGGTGCTGGAGTGGTGCTGCCAGCGCCATCGCGTGCAAGCCAGCGTTCTGCTCACGCCGAAGACGTTCGCGGGGTGGACGGTGGGGCTGACCTACGCCGACATCCTGTCGCTGGTGGAGGAGTGCGCCCGTGCCGCTGCGCAGGCGTTGCCCGCACTCTACAACGGCGATACATCTGAGGCGAGGGCGGTGGTCAGCGATGTCTCCTGTGAGCCGATCGTGCAGTCCTATCTCAAGGCCCACGGCTACAACATGGTGTCGACGAAGCTGCAGCCGGTGCGGTGGAGCGACGTCGGCGGCCTGGAGGAGGCGAAGCGCGAGCTGCGGGAGACGATTCAGCTTCCTCTATTGCACCCGGAGTTGTTTGAAAGCGGCATGAAGAAGCGCACCGGTGTTCTCTTCTACGGCCCACCGGGCTGCGGCAAGACACTGCTGGCCAAGGCCGTCGCTACGGAAATGAACATGAACTTTATGTCTGTCAAGGGGCCGGAGCTGATTAACCAGTACGTGGGCGAGAGCGAGAAGAATATTCGGCTGCTCTTTCAGCGAGCCCGCGACAACTCCCCGTGCATCGTGTTCTTCGACGAACTGGATGCCCTCGCCCCGGCGCGTGGCGCAAAAGGTGACGCCGGCGGTGTGATGGACCGCATCGTCTCGCAGCTGATGGTAGAGGTGGACGGCGTGGGGCAGAAGCGCTCCGACGGCACCGCGAGCGGGGACGTCTTTATCATTGGGGCGACGAACCGCCCCGACTTGTTAGACGCTGCGCTTCTGCGTCCTGGCCGGTTTGACCGGCTGTGCTACCTCGGAATCCCGTCGACGCGTGCGGAGCAGCTTTTTGCCCTACGCGCCCTCACCCGCAAGTTTGACATGCACGATGATGTGAGTCTCGAGGCGGTGCTGGAGCCGCTCGATTTCGTCTACACCGGGGCGGACTTTTTTGCGCTCTGCTCCGATGCGATGATGTTCGCCGTCGAAGACGCGTTGGAGGCGGTGCAGGAGCAGCTGACGGCTGCCGCGCTGGAGAGCAAGGCGGATGACGGCGCTGCCACCGTGACCGCGGCTGAAGAGGAAGAGTCGAAGCCGATCAAGGTGTGCATGGAGCATTTCCTGCGTGCCAGATCGCAGCTGAAGCCTTCCGTCACGAAGGCCGACCTCCACAAGTACGAGGCACTGAAGAAGAAGTTTGACAAGTAACAATTATGGGTTTGGTAGGGCTTTTAACGTTTATCGTGGCGGCGTTTGTGGGGTGCTTGATGCGGTGCCGTGTCGATCCGCATCGCGTACTTATAACGCTCAAAAGCGTTGTTTTTATATTCTGACTCCTGCGCAATACCGCCACGAACGTATCAAAAATAAGCTGCGCGACTCATTTTATAATTAAAGAACACACCTGCGTGTGTGTGCGTGTGTGTGTGCTGCATCACCGGGGTAGCCAGATGGTGGCCTAACTTGCTTTTACTTTCACTTGCAAACAGCTAACTGATGGCAGAGAAGCCAATCTCTGTGTGCGGATGCCAGCGGCGACACATTTTCTTTCGTGGTGTAGCACTCGACCGTTGCACAGCTTTTTTTGCTCTTTCTCTTGTACTCGAACATCGCATTTTCCCCGCAACGAGCAGTACCCAAATTGGTAGATCATGACCTCCCTTCTCGCTGGTGTGACGTGAGGTCGGCACTGCTCTTTGCCAATCTTTTCTCATCTCTCCCTCCTTCTGCTTTGACACCTGTGCGCTCTCCGCACCTACGCAAAACTTTCGGGTACTTCATTTTGTATACGTAGAGGTGAAAGCTCCTTCTTTTGCCTCTGCCTTTTTTCTGGTTTGAGTTTCCCCTTCCTCATGTCTCTCAGTGCCCTTGCGGCGAAGCGGGTGCGGCGTACGTGGGAGCCGGAGGAGAAGTCGTGGCACGATGACGCCTTGGAGTTGCCGTGGGAGGAGGTGCAGCCGCCGCTGCACAAAGCCTCCGTCTTTGCTCTCAAGAACGTTTTCTTCTTCTCTCACGCGACGCCCGTCCAGGCTCTGACGCTTAAAGTGCTCACGCAGAATGGATCAAGTGGTGTGGTGGAGGCACCCACCGGCAGCGGCAAGACGCTCGCGTTTCTTCTCCCCATTATGGAGCGCTGCGTGCGCGCCTGCGAGGCGTACGTCGAGGCCCATCAGCGGCCGCCGCTGTCGCGTAACATTCTCGGTATCATCTTCTCCCCGTCTCGCACTCTGGCGGAGCAGACCTTCGTGGTGGGCCGCAACTTGGCCGCGCGATACCCCTTCAACATTCAGTTTGTGTTGTGCGACGGTGTCGTGCAGAAGCCTGCCGCGGTGATGCAGCACCTGCGGCGCGGGGCACGAGGAGCGGGCACCGTTCTCGTTACCACGCCGAAAGATTTCGAAGAGTTGCTGCCGCTGATGAGAGGCGCGGATAGCGCGTCGAGAGACTCCGTTGATGACGAGCGGGCGGCGCTGCTGGCGCAGCAGGACGAGGCGACGCGCGAACGGTACTTCGCACGGCGAAAGAAAACGGCCGCAGGAAACGACGCCGCCGGGCGGGAGGGCGAGACCGTTCGCTTTTACTCTACGGCGGAGTGCCGCTTCTTCGTCGTGATGGATGAGGCGGACCTTCTCTACAACTCGCCCGACATGCGTCAGACGGTGGAGGCGTTCGTGGAGATGCATCGTCATCGCGGCGAGCAAAGACAGCCGGCGGAAACGGCGGTGAAGCCCCCAAAAGGCAAGAAAGGCGGAAGCTCTCGAAAGAACGCTGGGGAAGTGAAAGCGGGTGCAGTTCCCGCTCCATCGACGCCACGAACGCACGGAACCGGCGTTTTCATGGACTTCGCCTTCGTGGGTGCCACCGTGGCGACGTCGCCGCTGCTGCGAGACTACGCCGAGAGGGTGTGCGCGGAGTGCGGCACCACACTCCACACCCTTGCACTGCGTTCCAATGACGACTTCATTTCGCAACTGAGCAACCGCTACGTCGTGTGCGACGCCCCCAACTTTCTCCCCTACTTGGTGCAACTCATGAACTTGCACGCCTCGAAGAAGCACTTTGTCTTCTTCAACAACTTCCGCGTGCTGCTCTTTGTTCAGCGCCTCTTCGCCGCCTTGTCGGAGGGGAAGCGACCGCTGCTGTACATTCCGAAGGTGTACATGATGTACGAGGGCATGACCGAAGGCACTCGCATCGACCAGTACAACAAGTTCCTCACCCACGTCAGCCGCACCGAGGAGAAGCGCAAACCCAAGAAGGCGCTCTCGGATGCGGAGAAGAAAAACCAAATCTTCAGTGGTGGCTGGAAGCGCGATGGGACGGTGAATATGGGAACGGGCGCCATTCTGCTTTGCACCGACATTGCCGCCTTTGGGCTTGACGTGCGCGACGTTGACTATGTGTACCACTTCGAGCCGCCGTCCACCGTTCAGTCGTACATTCACCGTGTGGGTCGTGTCGGCCGCATGGGGATGAAGGGCAGCAGCATTCTGCTGCTACCCTGCAACGCCGAGTCGGACAGCATGCAGATCTCGCGTGAGCGCAAGACGGGCAGCACACGCTTTAACACGGTGACGAACACAAAGAATTTGACCAGCGAGCTGCAGGCGCCACGAGTTACCTCCAAATCTCTCCCTGAGGAGCGGCAGTCGTACCTGCAGGAGCTGAGCGAGCACAGTGCGCTGGAGGAGTACAACATCCCCCCGTTCGCACCCATCACATCGACTCTGCGCAGCATGATCATGAACGATGAAAGGATTCTCAAGGCGGCGAAGCGTGCGGCGATTTCCATGTGCGAGCCCACGCATAACGGCGAGGAATCATCGTGGTTTACGCCGAAGCTGGCGATGCGCACGCTCCTTCTTGACTGAGCGGCTCAGGTGATGAGGTGGGTAGACTTTCGGCCTTGCCGTCTTAATGCAGCAGCTTTATTTAATGTCCTCGTGTCTTGTGCTCGATGATTGGGCGAGTAAAGGTGTGCGGGCGGATGTAATCTTTGTGTAAGTAATCGCGATCCTTCGATTAATAACGCCGACGCGGCGGGTGCGATCAAGCGAAACGAAGCGACAAACGATGTAGCCCTGTATCGCGAGGGCAAGAGGTGCGGTGTTTTACGGTGCCGCTCAGAGGGTGCGACAGCTGCAGAAAACGGCAACACCCGTGAGAGCACTTCTTCCTGCTGTTTTTAGTGACAGCAGAAGATAATACGTGTGGTGCGGTGCGCAGCATTTGACGAACCGTTTCTGTTCCTTCTCATGCAACGTCTTCGCTTTCCCTTCTCTTATCTCGCACTAATGCGTTTGTTTGGGATGTGCACGTCGTAAACAACAACTCCTTCAGTTTCAGTGGACATATACAAACTCACATACACACCTGCTTTGCCATGATCAGCTACAACAACATCATTGAGAAGGGGGAACCGGAGAACAAGGAAATCATCGACCATGTTCTCGACAACATGACGGAGGTTTCTCAACCAACGCTGGTGCCCATGGGCGATGGCTCAACGGACTGCATTGTCTTGGAGAACCTACTCACGCATGAAGAGTGCGACCTGCTGGTCGCGGCGTGCGAGAAAGTGGGCTACTCCTTCTGGCATCAAAAGAGCCACAACGATGTGGACGGAGAGGTGAACTGCGATGCCGCCTCCAAGGCGGTGCGCGTGGTGGACACGATCGAGGCGAACTTCCCGCACCTATCCGCTAAACTGTACGAGCGGATCTCGCGTGTCGTCAACTTGGAGCCAAAGACCTTTTCCGAAGACATGCCAAACGCGGACGAGCTGTACGAACGCGACATTGAGGGGACCTGGGTGCCGCACGCGCTCGCGGAGAACCTCCTCCTTGGGCGCTACCACCCAGGCGGCCACTTCATGCCCCACGTCGACGGCTCCACCATTGTCGACCTCAACACGCGGTCCTTCTACACCCTCCTTATTTACCTCAACGACGTCCCACACGGTGGCGAGACCTTCGTTTTTGCGGGAGAGCAATGCAAGGTGATGTATCTGGACGAGAAGGACCACAAATACCGCGGCAGCGCTACCCAGCGGGTGGGGGCGGTGCACCCGAAGAAGGGCTCTGCTGCGTTCTTTTACTACAGCCTGCTGCACGAGGCGGCACCAGTGGAGGAAGGGCAGAAGTATATCTGCCGAGCCGATCTGCTTTACCGTCGCACCCCGGCTATTTACACGTCGGAGCAAGACATCAAAGCCTTCAACCTCTATCAGGAAGCCCGGCTTGCTGAAAGCAGCGGCGATGCGCAACGCGCCTGTGAGCTCTTCCAGCGCGTCGGCAAGCTCTCCAAGGGTGTGGCCGCCATCTACCAGGTCGACTAAAGCGAGGCGTTACCTCATTAAATGAGCGAAGGACAACAGAAACGCACGCAGGGCACGAGTTTGTGCCAACAGCACCTCAACTGTTGTATTGCGTCGCCAACGACAAGAGAAGAGGGACCAAAAAGACTATGTCGACAAACAGGTAGTACTCGCTAATCGTCTCTTCAATGCCTGGAAGGAGCATTTGCTTTTTCTCGGGCAGGGTCGTGCGCTGCAGCCGTTGCGCACCCTTCACACCATTACCGTTGCGTTCGCTCCTTTTGGTTAATTCTTAAACGCCATGCTAATTGAGGTCCTCTCATCAAATGACCATCAAAAAAGGAAAACGACAGCGCTTATTAGGAAGACAACATAATAACTTCAATCAGTTGCGGTCCACTGCGGCGACACCGATCTTTGGTTTCCACGATTTCTCGCCAGTTCTCTGACGTGTCCACACTGCGCATGCCGAAGTGTTTTTCTTTGCTCTTCCTCTCTCTGACACGCACGTTTTTGAGGACACTTCTCGTTCCTTTACCTTTTCCTTTACCTTTGTCTTTGTTTGTCGGGAGCGCCGGACACCGGTCAGCATCAATTCGACAAGGTCGTCGTAAGGCTCTTGTGTCATGCAGCATCAGGAAGACTACGCCTCCGATGCCTCCAAGGATGAGCAGTACTTTGAGGGCTACGCGGATTTGGGCGTGCACAAGGTCATGCTGAAGGACCGTCCACGTATGGACTTCTACAAGGGCATCCTGACAGACAAGAACATCGTAGAGGGGAAGTTGGTGGTGGATGTCGGCTCCGGTAGCGGCATTCTTTCTTGTTGGGCGGCGCAGTCTGGAGCAGCGCACGTGCTCTCCATTGAGGCGTCCTCGATGTCTGACATTCAGCAGCAAATTGTTCACGACAACAACCTGGCAGACAAGGTGACTGTCGTGGCCTCCACCGTCGAGGACCTCATTCGAGCCGGCACTGACGCTTTCCTTGACACCTACCCTGCCGTGCGCCAAGCTGGAGGCATTAGCTTGGTGGTGTCGGAGTGGATGGGCTTCTATTTATTTCACGAGTGCATGTTGCCCTCGGTGCTACGTGCCCGCGATTTCTTTAAGGAAGTCAACACCGCGTTAAACGCAAACGTCGACGTGCAGATGATCCCGTCGCACGGACAGCTGCACGCTGCTCCAATTTCGCTGAGACAATACTATGAAGAGTCCTTTGCGAGCTTCTGGGCAAATGTGGATGGTGTGCGGCTGGAGACGTTGGGGAAGCTGGAGTTTGAGCAGCACCTCGAGTCGGCGTCTCCGTTGGTGGAAGTGCTACCTCTTCGATGCCTCTTACACGAGGGTGAAGTCTTCTGGGAGGGCTGTTTTGACACGTTGCATGTGGATGAGTTGGAAGAGGTGAAGGCAGCTCGCACCTTTCACTTTACCAACTCTGCCTTCGCACGGCGGCGGTTGCAGGAGGCAGGCAACCTTGTGCTGGACGGCTTCACGATTTGGTTCGAGGTGTCGTTCGGGAAGCTCGTCCTAGACACCGCACCCACTGCCCCTCCCACACATTGGAAGCAGACAACGGTGCTCCTGCCCCGCGAGGTGCGTGAAGGGGAAGTTGTGGCGTTCGATAACGCTGACGAGGATCTGGAGCTGACCCTTTGCCTCACCGCACAGGATCTTTCCCAGCGCTACTACAAGATTGAGTTTGAGCTCAACTGAGCACATTAAGAAACAAAAGAAGACGTCATTGGAAAAATTGAAACGTGAAGGGCTACGATGCGCTCCGGGTTGGTGGCAAGTACGCCTCTCAGTGAAGCTCTCGCCTACACTGAGCATTTGCATCCGCAAACGAACTTGAAGGCATGTCAGCTCTCTTAATGACCGCGGCGCCATTTTTTTTTTAGCGGCAACCTTTTCTGTATAATCTCTATCTCTGACTCTTGCGGTTCTTGCGGATGTGCGTTTCCGCTTTGGAAGCGCCATTCATCGCCCTCTTTACCTCTGTCATTTGTTCTCCCGGGAAGTACCAGGTTTTCTCTTTTTCACCGCAGGTAGGCAAGTTCTTTTTGTTCGCCGCCATGTCCACCGGTAGTCTCTCGGAGGAGACCGTGCGGTACTTCGAGGAGAAGAACATTTCATTTATACTCGATGAGGCGATGCACAACGTCATGCAGGCCATGCCTGAGGACCCACTGCAGTTTCTCGAGGACACGCTGCGCAAACCCACACCGCTTCGTGTAATGGTGGTGGGCCCTCCTGGCAGCGGCAAGTCCACCTTGGCAGCGAAACTCGCGGAGCGCTACGGCGTCGTGCACGTAGATGCGTCGCCAAATGCAGCGACAGGCGAGATCACGGCCGCTGCTGACATTCTCCCCCGTATCACCGAAGCACACAAGAGTGGCCGGGGTTGGGTGCTGGACGGATTTCCCGAGAGACGTGCCAACACCATTCAACTGCAGGCGTACGGGGTGTCTCCGCAGATGGTCTTTGAGCTGCAGGCTCCGGTGGGTATCACGATGGCGCGCATCACCAGCAACCGTAATGAGGGGTCACACGTCAGCGAGGACGCCATCATGCAGCGCTACAGGTATTACGACATGCGCAGGGCGGAGGTGGCGGCGGCGTACCACACGTGCTACACCGGAGTGTCCGCAGCCGGTAGCCGCGAGGAGGTCCTTGAGCAAGTCTCCAAAGCAATCGACGGCTTGAAGCTTTCGTAATCAGCGGCCGCTTCCGTACCTTCTCCGATACTCGCTTGACGTTCTATGCGGTGTTTTTGTTTCTGTTTCTCGTCCATGTACATACAGTGTTTCGTTGACCTACTCAGGTTCGACAAGAATAACGACAATAGTAATAAAACGAATGCATTACCGGAAGAGAAAACATTCTGTTACGTACGTAATGAGGTTGGAGAGGAAACTTAGGCGCTCCCTTCCTTCTCCCAATCTTGAGAATTATTTTGAGTGCAGCCTTCACAATAGTCATGCGGATTCAATGCACTCGTACTCGCGCACGCCCAACCTTTTCATAACAATCTGCCGCGACTCTATCTACGCTCTTCCAACAACTGATCTACTTCTTTCCGAACTCGCCCCCCCCCCCTTTCCGTTGTTTCTGATTCTGTCCATCAACCCCAAACGCTTGCTTCACAGCAAAGGAGGGAAACACTTGCTTGTGATGTTCTCCACCTCGCGGTCGTCGTTGCGGTATCGGCTGTTCCACCCGGTGCGGCAAAACATCCCTTTTCACTTCAACCCGGTGCAGTCCATTTTCCCACTCATTTACGAGAACAACCTTCTCGCCAAGCCGCGCAACAGCTGGAAGGATTACCAGGGCCGGAAGGAGTTCGACCAAGACCACCCGCTGCCCGTCGTCGGCACCCGTCTCAATGAGCGCACAACCACGCACAAGTGGTCGCACTGGGATCAGTACCTTAACCCACAGGTCACGCAGAGCTGGATGGACCTCACGGTGACGCCCGAGTACGTCGGTCCCCGCAGCGGCCACAACGTCATCAAGATGGGCTGGATGAAAATAGGTGGAAGCTGGAAGTACTCACGCAGCTACAACGATGCGCGCCGTGGGTTTGCGAAGGGCCAGTGGCAGGAGCGAAAGATGACGCCGCGCTTCATGCTGGCGCCGCGTGTCTCGGCCGGGGGCCCACGTAATCGCTACGAGGGAAAGGCGACCTTCTCACGCTTGAATTTGGCAAAGCTGCTGTGGGCTGTCGACAGTGGCCGTCTTAATCCCAACGAGACCATCACCCTCTACCACCTACGCAACGCCAAGGTGATCGCCGATCGTGAGATTTTGTGGCCCGGCATGGTGCTGCTATCAGGCAACGTGGAGCGGGTGCCCTACCCGCTGCACATCGAGCTGCAAAATGCATCTGCACGGGCGATTCAGCTAATCGAGGAAGCGGGCGGCACCTTCACGAATGTGTACATGTCACACGAGGGGCTCTATCAAGAGCTGCACCCCGAGCAGTTTCCGACCTTCATGGAGCAAGAGCTGCCGGAGCGCAAAGGGCTGGAGAACTTCGCCACAAATCCGCGTAAGCGCGGCTGGCTGGCGCAGTGGTACGAGGAGGAAAGCAAATACGCTCACCCGGATGCTGGGCGGCGCCACGCGCACTACGTCCGCCCACCCACCGACCGCGACTTCCCCGCCACTATCGAGGAGTACGAGTTAGCGAAGCACCACCAGAAGTGGCATCTGAACCAGCCGGGCAGCGCGACGGTGTTGCCCTGGCACTCCCTCAACACGGCGGATATGGCTCGCCGGTCTACCGGGCGGTTGTAGAGGGGAGCGAACCGCGAAGATGGTGTGCGTGCGTGCATGTGTGCGTGTGCGTTAAAGGGGAGGCATGTTTGTGTTTGTACGTGTATCTGTGTCCTTGTCTGTGCTTGCGTCGAGGAGAATTAGTTGATATCTATCCACACCATTGAAAACAAATAAGAATCATAGACAACTTTATAAGGGATACGGAGGTGCTCTCCCATCTCCGTCGGCTCTGTCGAGTTCGGCGAGAGATGAGCCGCCAACTGACGACATCAACCGACGACGTCTGAAAGCAACGCGAGAAAGAAGCTCGAGTAGGATGCCCGCTTTGGACGCACAACCTCCACAAACAAGGAAAAGCACGGTTACCGAGAAGGTGCACTGAACACGACGAATTTCACGCTCTTCCTCTCCTCCATCGTATCTCTTTTTTGTGTTCTGTTTTCCGGTAGCCTGCCTTCATGACGACACGGATAGAGCTCCGCAAGGTCCACGTCGTGGGCGACAACCCCACCAAGTTCGACGCGCCCATTCGACTCCACCTCGTGCTGGAAGTGTTTGAGCAGGTGCCGCGCGATGCAATCGATGTGTCCTTCACCTGGTCGCCCGTGTGGGACTTTCCCGTAGACCAGAAGCTAGATGAGATGGAGGTGGGTCCGTTCACCACGCTGGGCAAGCACGAGTTCACGATCGAGAGCGATCCGCCGGATGTGTCGCAGATACCCGACCCTACAGGGCCCACGGCACTTATCATTTCATTCAAGTACAGCGAACAGGAGTTCCTTCACATTGGGTACAACGTCGTCGTCACCTGTGAAGGAGAAATGCCGGACGTGTTCACCTCCGCGTCGCAGCTAACCCGCGAAATCGGAAAGTGCTACCCCAAGTTGCGCGAAATAACGTGGGACACAAACGAATCGTCCCCATCAACGTCCTCAGCGGAGTCTAGCGAAGAGGAGTCGGAAGACGCGGACGAAGCGCCGGAGAAGCGCGCTCGTTTGGAAGATTGACAGCGCTTGTTTATAGAACGTAGAGGTCGTTACACTTCCGGTTAGGTGTGTGAGACACGCCACAGAGTAGACCACAACAAATGTTTCTGAGAATGTCATCCGATGCATTAACCTCCATTTATGTGTGCAATACGTACGTTGCGTGCGTAAGTGACAATCGAAAGCGCTCGCTGCGTTTACGCATCATCTCTCATTGTCTCAAATGGGAGAAATTGCGAAGAGACCTCGTAGAGGTTTTGCGGCGCTGGTGCTTCCTATCACTTATTCTGACATTTCTCCTTGTCCCCGTCCCCCCCCCCCCCACCCCCCAACCCCTCTTCCATCACCTGCGCGCACTGCCATCAGTAACGTGCCTTGACAGCCCAACACCCACCGAATACACTACAACGCCAACGAGCACCTGCCACTGCGGCCCCGACACATCCGTGCCTCACTACACCAAAGCGGAGGAAATGCCGAGCAATGAGAGCCCCGCCGTGGCGGCGTGCCCGATGCGCCTGACGACGGAGTTTGGCGCGCCGGTGGCGAACAACGACGACATGATGACCGCCGGCCGCCGCGGCCCCGCCCTGCTGCAGGACGTGTGGCTGCTCGAGAAACTCGCCCATTTCGACCGCGAGGAGATCCCGGAGCGCCGCATGCACGCCAAAGGCTCCGGCGCCTTTGGCACCTTCACGGTGACCCACGACATCACGCAGTACACGAGGGCGAAGCTGTTCTCCGAGGTGGGCAAGAAAACGGATATGTTCGTGCGCTTCTCGACGGTGGCGGGGGAGAAGGGCGCGCCGGACCTGGAGCGCGACATCCGCGGCTTCGCGATGAAGTTCTACACGGAGGAGGGCAACTGGGACCTCGTCGGCAACAACACGCCGGTGTTTTACTTTCGCGACGCGCTGCGTTTCCCCGATCTGAACCACGCGGTGAAGCGCGACCCGAAGACGAACATGCGCAGCGCGCAGAACAAGTGGGACTTCTTCACGATGCTGCCGGAGGCGCTGCACCAGGTGACAATCGACATGAGCGACCGTGGGCTGCCGGCGAACTACCGCCACATGCACGGCTTCGGCAGCCACACGTACAGCTTCATCAACGCGAAGAACGAGTTGGTGTGGGTGAAGTTTCACTTCAAGTGCCAGCAAGGCATCAAGAACGTGACGGACGCGGAGGCGGCGCAGATCGTGGGCACGGATACGGAGAGCAGTCAGCGCGACTTGGTGGACGCCATCGAGCGCGGCGACTACCCGCGGTGGGACATGAAGGTGCAGCTGATGACGCGGGAGCAGGCGAAGCAGTGCCCCTTCAACCCGTTCGACTTGACCAAGACGTGGTCGCAGAAGGACTATCCGCTGATCGATGTGGGCGTGATGGAGCTGAACCGCGTCCCGGAGAACTACTTCGCGGACGTGGAGCAGGCCGCCTTCAGCCCGGCGGTGGTGGTGCCGGGCATCAGCTTCTCGCCGGACCGCATGCTGCAGGCGCGGCTCTTTTCCTACGGCGACGCGCAGCGCTACCGCCTGGGCGTCAACTACGCGAGCATCCCGGTAAATGCTCCGCGCTGCCCCTTCCACAGCTACCACCGCAACGGACTGATGCGCGTGGACGGGAACAACGGCGCCAACCTGCAATACGCCCCGAACAGTGCCGGCGAGTGGCAGAGCAACGCTGCGGCTGAGGAGCCGGCCCTGCCCGTGGAGGGCTACGCATGCCACTACGACTTCCACGAGGACGACGACGATTACTATTCGTGCCCCCGTGCTCTGTTCGAGTTGATGAGCCCTGAGCAGAAGACGGTGCTGTTCGAGAACACCGCGAGAGCGATGCAGGGGACGACGAAGGAGGTGCAGCTCCGCCACATCCACAACTGCATGAAGGCGCACAGGGACTACGGTCTGGGCGTCGCCAAGGCGCTGAACGTCAGCGAAGCGGAGATCTAACCGCGCACACTCGTTGAAGCGCAGCTCCAGCGCTTGTCGCTGTGAGCCTCAAACGCCGAACGAACACACTTATTCGCATTATGGTAATGACAGCCGCATGCCGCCCCCATATATTTTCGCCGCAGCCACTTATTTGATTTCATTTTGATTAAATCATGCTTCAATCTTTTATTCGTTCTTTTCTATTCCCTCCACTCTTGTGTTATTGTTTCCGCGTTGCAACCTTTATACCTCGTGGTGCAACCACTATTACGATCTCAAAACATATTATTATCAGTGGGTTTCTGTCTCAAAATTCGATTGCCACTTGAATGGTAGGCGAGAACGTATTTTCTTTTTTTTATAAGCGCCCGTCGGTGTTGCTTCGTGACACTGGACGGTCTGTGCCACCACTTCTCTGGACAATCGCTTGATTATCGCGTTTTTCGTCTGAGGCTTTCGTACGTGAAAATGGGAAAAAAATATGTCCCTTAACATTTTTGGCTGCTTTCAACACCAGTCGCATCCCTAGCTAAATGTGCTGTCCGCTATCACGATCTGACTCATTGAATGTGAAGTTGGGTTGTTTCATACAATCTGGAGTCTATGCCATCAAGGGTAGTGCCGTAGATACGCGTTTTCTCTCTTGCTTGCACTCGAAATCAACTACCCGACTTTCTTTTCTTTGGTGCTCCATTGTCTTGATGATGCCGGTCACCTCAGGGTGGTGCCAGGGCCCAGTACCCACTATGTGAGGGACTCAAGAGCCTGCAACCCATCGAATCCTGTTGCGGGTTTGTTGGCGCGACGGACAGGTCCGGGTGGGTCACCCGCTAGAGAGACCTGCGGAGTCGTATACGTGTGGGCCGACCTACAGAAACCTGTGTCCGCGGGCTACAAATCCTGCTCGTTGGACTTTCTTCACAAACCTATTCAAAACGACGGTAACGTTGAATGCATGTGGTGTGTCCGTCACTGCGTGCAATAGGCGAACCTGCTTCCTCCGCTGCCGAAACCTTTTCTTGAAACGCCGCCATGCGCTTACGTCACCCGGAGAGCTTCCGATCCAGTTCTGTGCCCCGTCTGCTGCGAGTGTTGCATGCACCGAGAACACTTCAAACGCCGTCTCGTGCGCGACTGGACGGTCTCAAACCCGGCAGAACCCAGCACGCTTCTTACTCGGTCACCCCTTGCATCGCCGCCCGGTGTATCTCATCGCTGTTCTCTGTGCACCTTCCTTCCTACGAGCCAACTGAGCTTCTCTCAGCGACGCGTGCTCCGCCACAGCCCGCTGCCGCTCGGCACTCCTAGCGCCGTCAGGCGAGTTCGCGTAGTCGAGAAACTCGCGTGTCTTGTTTGCCACCAACCGATCGCCGCGCGCAGCTCGCAGCACCGCCGCTGCAGCCGTCGTTTCTCCCACAGAGATCAACACCGATACGCAGCAGCACACCCGTCCCATTGCGGGTCCACGAATTCAAGTGTGTCCAGCTTTCGGCTATGTGCAATCTCTACTATTCGAGCTTCTTTTTTTCCACGTCCGCACTCAACGTTCTGGTATGACGAGACTCAATGTAATAGGTGCGAGTGGGGGGCCGCCGTCCGTTCTCGTCCATCCGAAGATCCACTCGCGCATAGGCCCAGGGCACCTCGTCGAGATTAGTTCCGCCGCTAAACCGGTCGAGTTTCTAGTCACGATGATTCTTCAGAGCAGCGCCGAGACATGGAGGTGCCGACGAGTTGGGTTTTGTTGTGGTGGTTTCCGTGTTTCGGCAGATGCAACACGCATGAAAAAGAGCGGGCGAGTCTCCTATCTAGACTGTCAAAAACGAAACAAACCCTGACTCTCTTTCCTTTCGTTGCACAACGATGCAGTGCGAGGAAACCTTATGACGTCGTGATGGGGAGTTTACAACGGTGAATATGTTGCATAAAGGGTCAGCTGCATGCCGCCCCTCTATCCACTCCTTGCGATCGAGAAACCTCTGTTGTTTTTGTGTTTCTCGTTGCAGTGCCTTTCTTTTCTCTCGTGCGCTTTCACTTTTGATTTACTCTTCGCCTCTCTCCGTCTATTGTTGTTTTTCCTGTCTCCTCTTTTCTTTCGTTGCTGGTGGTGGAAGACACCATCATCTTTCACACCTTTCCACTCATCCACAAACAGACGCCCAAGCCAAACACACCCACATAGGTGATGGCACAACTACACGAGAACTACACGCAGCATGTGGCGACTGCTAATGCAGCTCTTTCTGACAGCGCTGAAGATGCCAGTGTTCGTACATCGCTATCGCGTCTGTGAGGTGACGTTGTGGCGCATGTGATGAGTTTCATGGGCGAGCAGTCCATTGAATGCACTTTCACAACACTGCGTGCCGTGTCTCCGCAGATGAGACTGGATGCGGATGCGTTGATGGGCAACCTTGGCGTTGAACAGAATTGCTGTGGTGTGGTGGTGACAGACAACCATCTGGTGTACACGGTCACTGCGGCGACGAAAATCTCAACTCGTCAACGGCTTGCACCCTCGTGGTGGTGGGTGGATTGGTGCGGCCTGCCGCCGGACGCCACCGTCGACAACGTACGCGACATCTTCCGCTTCAGGTAGCCACCCATGGAGGAATACGGTCAGCAGCAGGTTTGGGGGGCTGCCCGATGCTCACCAACCTCGACGTCGCCGGTAATCAGGACCTGTGCATGCTCTGTGATCAATTACCCCTTGCGGTGTCATCTGTTTCTTTCCGTTTTGTTCCTTTTTATTCATTTTTGTACCTTTCTCTTTCGATAGCTTTCCGCTCTCGAATCGCTCTCCTTTTCTTGTTTGCTGCCTGCATACCTCGTAATTAAAACTGCGCCTTTTACGCCAGCGGTATGTTTTGAAAGCGCAGCTGCATGGACTATGCCGATTGAAAGTAGAAATCCGGGTAGTTTCCGAAGTTTGCAGGGGCTTTCTCTTTTAACAGTCCCAGTGTTATGTAAAGCGTTTTTTTTTTCAACCGGTCAGGCGTTCAGCTTTCATCCTCACTGTCTTTATTTTTGATACTCGGTGGCACAGCAGCGCTGACTCCGCACCGTCGCAACACTCATAAATGGGTGGGCTGCGCCTCCAAAACAATAATAATGCTCTTCTTTTTGCGGGCTCATATTTACTTTTGAGCTCTTTTTTTTTTGTAAGTGTTGGCTCGATCGATGCCGTACCCCTCTTTTTCTTTTCGTGGCTTCGAGGCGTTTCAGGGCGTACAGGTCCTTCGAACTGTCGCTTCTAAACCGCATAATGTCCCATTACTCCGGGTGGATTACAACAATCCCCTTCTTCTTTTTGTATGCGTCGGTGGGCAACGACAGGGAGAAGAGCGTCTCTTTGGTACTGCCCGCTGCGCAAAACCCCACGTTCGAATTCATCTGTCCTTTGATTTCTTGCCCATTGTACGTACAAAGTTTCTGAACTAGGACAATAATAATATCACCCCCAGAGAGTGTTGAACGTGATGGAAAAGCGGAAGGAGGTCATACGGGAGGCGTTCACAAGTGCGCACGCAACGCAGCTAGTTCGTACTGCAAGGATATAGTGCCCTGCAGTGACGTTTCATCTGCAACGTTAGTGCGTGTAAGTGACAGAGGTTGGTACTGCTGAATTGCTGGTAAT